TGCTGTCGTCCTGGTTATACCAGAGAGGGTGTCGTGGTTTAAGCCCAGCCGGCTCCCAGACTGAAAGTCAAAAACACAGCACTGCACCAGCTACTAAGAAGGAGAAAAAATGACTGCTATAGATGAACCCAGGACAGTTGCATTTTCAGATTTAGGTCATGCAAGACAGTGGTTGACCTGTGCTTTGTATTCTTCCTTGCCTCCGCTTCAAAACCCTGTCTTACTGCATGCTGAGAATAGATTCACAGAATCATAGAATGTTTAGGGTTGGGAAAGACCTTAAGATCATGTAGTTCAAACCCCCCTGCCATGGGCAGGGAAACCTCCCACTATACCATGTTGTCCAAGGCCCTGTCCAACCTGGCACACAGAGTCAATTCAGTGCACAGAGTCCCCTCTCGTATTTAGGAGTCACATACTACCTGCTTATTACACCCTAAATGCACATGTGCATTCTTTTGCTCACAATAGGCAGTAAAAAATAATCTTTGCATGTAGAGATTTAAAGCCCAGGTATGAGATTTTTATTTCTTCATTGAACAGAGTAAGTAGACAGAAGACAGGTTTCTCACACTGTACACAGCCAACAGCCTTCCACTTCAAGCCACAAAGATTCTGTGAAGCTAAATGAGAAGCTGATACCTAGTCAGTACCAAGGGATCTGTCAGAAACACCTGAAGAGTTGCTCAGATGCCTCAATATAGCTGTTTAATGCCATCTTACACAAACATGGGTATCCAAGACTTTCAAATGCAGAAGGCAAGTATTGACATGGGAATTAACTGACACCTTTCTTTGGTGAGTACCACTAGAAGCTAACCAGAAAGCTCCAAAGCATCTCACACAGTATTAGAAATTTATGTTTAGACAAATAGCCTGCATTTACTGAACCTTGAAGATGCTACTAAATATAATTAAGATAGATAGAAGCCATTTACCGTCTTTGAAGTCAGCATTTTTCTGCCTCACCAGAATTCGGAAATCTTCTGCTGGATTAGCACTGCCAACCTACAAAAGGTCCGAAGATGATACAATCATCATCAGCCAATATCCATCTCTTTCTTCTTACCAGGCAACAAGGATCTTTATATTTCTGCTTATTTTAATATGGAAACAGAAGCTCTACACTTTTCTGCGTACAGACTCATAGAATGCAAGTCTTATAATGTGTGTTAATGCACAGTACTCCCAGCAAAGGAGGGTTATGACATGAGCAAGATGAACTTTACACTTACTATGCTGTACTGTTATAAGCTGACCGTGTTCTCTGGGTTTAGAGGTTAGAAGCACAGTAATTCAAGTTACCTGCTAGTTCAGCTTTGAGACTTTCTGTAGCACAGACCTCTCCCTAATCTTGACAGGTGCTTAATGAGGAATGGAAGCTCCCAGGCATGTGGGTACAGAATCATTGGTTTGCCACTCCAATGGGAAGATCAAAATTAAAAGCTTGCACTCAATTCATCTATCCTTCCTGGCCCAGTCTGACATCTTAAAGTTGAAGCTCTAAATGGGCATACAAGTGCAGAAGCCTTTCAAAAAAACTAAAACCAGGTCAAATATAAACACTGGAAAATGGATGCAGCAACTTTAGGGAAAAAAAATTACACTGCTTAAAATTTTCTTTCAGGAATGAAAGTTCTCCTGAGTATAATAGAAATTTTTATGCGTGGCTGTCAAAATAATTTGTAGATCTTGCAATAATCTTGCTTGGTCTCTCAGTGTTTTATTTAAATCTGGAAATGACACTTTTCAGGAAATATCAGAAATTTATATTAGGAATACTGAGTATTTAAATATTTTTAGATTTTATATCTTTTTAAAAATCTGAATCATGCATTTTAAAAACCAACCTTAAAAGACAGCACATTTGAAAACAAGGGAAGTTATCTCAATATTAAATCACTTTTTTCCCTGTAATACAAAGAATCAAGTAAAGGAAGGTGCACAGTTAAGATACAGGCTTCATCTACCCATGTGCACAACATCTGGAATTAAGTTAGACCTGGCAGCAAGATGAAGCCAAATTTGTGATTTAGAACCCTGTCCTGGTTGCAGCAGAGAATAGTCTTGAAAATCACAGCAATATCTTCGATTCAATACAGAGAGACAACAACTATGTTGCAGATGATATGAAAGAGAGCAAGAACAAAATTCAACTACTGAACGCCAATTCTGAGATTCTGTTTTCTTCAGATCCTCAGGCTTGCCCTTCAGAGTTCTAGATGCTGGGGGAGGATTTTGTCAAAAAATATCAAAGACTGATGGGAATTGGTGCTAAAATAGACCTAAGGGCAGAGAACCTCTAGCGGAGTCTCAAATCTACAGGTAGATAGTATTTCAGTCATATTTCAGCTAGAAATCCTCCTTTTATCAGATATTCTATATATTCAGTATAATAGAGAAACTAAACTTCCTCTTTAAGAAAGAGATTTGTAAAAATATACTTACAGAGGTGACATTTCCTTCAGCAAGTTTCATGATGCTAAAGCTACCTTCCTCATCTTCAATTTTTGGTTTCTTAAGGTTGGGTCCATCTTCACTGCTGCAAATGAGGAAGACAAAAATTAATACAAACACTTGAAATAAACTGTCCTGCCTACTAAGTAAGGAGTCAGTAAATTAATGAAATATACACTGAACATTGGACAAAACTTCATTATATAACTATTCCTAAATTAATGCTAAACCAGTCCTCATTTTTCTGCACAGGCTGCACAAAGCAGACAGTAAAAACACAGATCATACTTTACCTTAGCATAAAGCAAAGGCACTGCTTGCTGAAGGTACAAGATTATTCATGCTTATTTCAGGAGTGAATTTACTTATACACAGTTTTCCCACTTTTCTAAATATAGACTATCTCCAGTCATATTATTTTGAACCTGTTTATTGCATTAACCTTGATAATTTACAGAGTATGATTTACTGATTTACAGTATATTACACGTAGTAATATATTACATACATTACAGTATATTACATTTGGTATTCTCACCACATTTGCTGTAAATAGAAATAGCAATGAAAAATTAACATTTAAGTAAAAAATTAATTTACTCTTCAAAAATTACCTGCTAGTTCCTGGAACTGATAGCTGGTACAAAACTGTTTACTGGTGGCTTTTGAGTCTAACAACCCATACTCTCCACCAGCACACAAGAGCTTTATAAGATTCCACTTACAGCAGTCAAAACCTGCTAGACAAACCCCAATTAAGTATATAAGAACTCTCTTAGGACATTTTAAGCTAATCTCAAAATGCTTTCAAAAGACTGTTCTTTTAAAAAAGCTAATACTGAATTTAAGCTACTTTGTTGCTTGCTCCTTACAGGTAACATATACCAAGGTGTACATTCAAATTAGGAACTTAACTGTAACATCTAACATGCCAAACTTCACGGCACATCTTGGCAACAGAAGAAAATCAGGTAATCACAAAAGGGTAAAAAAATCAGATGCTGTGTTCTATGTCACTTAATGTGACAGGCTACTAACACAGAAGAATCGATTTCAGTTTAAGAATGCCTGAAAGCTACTCAGTGATGTGAATGGCAGTATTCGTGTTCAAGGAATCCCAAAACAATGTAAGAAGGTTTTCTCTAAAATTTTACTACTGCAGCGAAAAGACTACAGGGACAAAGCCAGAGCTCCTAGACTAGATGTCACTTTGCATTCTACAAGGTTAAAACTGATTTTAAAACCTGCATTGCACATTACAGAAACAATCAACTATTAGAAGGCACTTGTACAGTCTTCCTTTTCACTTCCCATAGCACACCTCTCCCTTACTTTACAATCAGTGTCCATCCCACTTTGTTTCAGCTGTCTTCTCTGTCCTATACCTAATTTTGTCAGTACCGAAATGAAATCCCTTCTTCCTCAGCAGCTCCTGTCATCCAACATAACCTTACTTATCACTCTAGGAGAAATGATGACTTCAGTTATGCCTTAGGACAAGAATAAGATACCTTGCTTCATCTTCAACTCTGCTGACTTTCTGGCTGACCTTGAAAAAGTGGCTTAATTGTTCTGGACAGCAAATATGCCAGTCTGTAAAATCGAGATAAACTGATACTTTTTTAACACCAGTGAGTTTACAACTTCTACTTGAACCAAAATCCTTGTATATTGATGTGCTTTGATGAAAGGTACAAAGAACAATGAAAATTATCTTTTAGAATACTTTTCTCCAACGGCGTTTTGCAATGTCTTGAAATCTTTTTCCTTCTGCATTATTTTTACTGATTCAAAATGCTTGGGGATTGGTGGAAGAAGGAGAACATAAATGCTGATGCTGCATTTAACTGCCTAGTACCAAATCCACAGCTGTTATTAATCAGTTCAGTACAGCAGAAACTAATGAATCCACACTCATTTATACCAGCCAAGGATCTGACATGTAGAATCTCTTACTGGCAATGCACTGATTAGTAGTATTTTTAAACTGTAAAACGTGCAACTACTATTTGAGAAAAATTAATGAAATACAAGATTAATTTAAAACACCCACTTCTACATTTATATAGAAGCCTCTCACATATGCAAAGTTGGATGAGGTAACAGCCTCTCCAAAGCCAACCTAAGAAGGAAAAAGTAAAATGCTTTCTATTTTACTGGATTTTTTAAAACTACATGAAGCTTAGTAAAAGTGAAACAAATGAATACTGAATATTAAACACTATGTTAAGATAGCATGCCTACATTTATGCTGCCTTAATCCCACTAGACCTTAAAATTAAGTGGAGAAGGCTTCTAGCCAAGTTCTTCAAAACATTTTAGTGCAAATTATTTAGATCTGACAGTTTTAATAAGTTGAATGTTATTTGTTGTTAGACATATTTCTTAGTCATTGTTGCAGAGTGATGTATCTCTACAGTGCATATTTAAATCCTCTTTATCAAAAGATTCTACCACTCAGCTTTTCCTCAAAGACAGAAGACCATACAGTTAATGTTTCTGTTGAAGCAATGACAATACTACTGTTCCCATTCATTACTACAGCAATATCATTTATTCTGCAACTTTTAAACCTCTATTACCATTCATTCTTCTTTGCATAATTGAGTTTGTATCCTTTTACTTCCCTTACAGATTTTTTTAAAACAATTTTAATGCCCTACAAGAATTTCTATCTTAATTATTTTTATAGCTGCTTTCATCACCCTTCTAAAGGAAACCAGTTTTAAAATAAAATAGCTTTCCTTCTTGCTTGTCAAATTGATGCCTTTGAGATGATATCTTTTAAGCAACTACCAATAATTTTTTGCTTAAATTCTCTCTCTAGCTTGTTTGAACCCAGTTTTGCTTTCCTTGGTTTTGTTTTGGGCTTATCTGGGGTTTTTTTTAACTGGTTCTATCACCTTTTTAAAGTACACATATAAATCTATGAATGTATACGCACACACACAGACAAACTGGGGCATAGAGCATGGACAGGAGAATTCGATCAGTATGAATTCAAGGACACACCAAGGCAAGACAGGCACACATAGCAATGAACAAAATAAAAAGAAAGGTGCTTCCCAGTTTGTATATAGAAATGCAGTCATTGTTCCAAAGAAATAATGTGATAAGCCCTGTGTCATGTCTTCCCAAAGACAACATGCTGAGGAGGCTCTAGCCATCCCCAGATAAAGGATATATGACAGTTCAGATAACCAACGCCTCAAAATGGCTCAAAGACATTGTTCCTAGTGCTGAAAGGACAAAGCTAAAAAATGGCAAAAGGGAGAAAGAAAGAGCTAACTAAGAACTCTCCCAACATGTGACTGGTGAGGCACTGGAATGGGTTGCCCAAGGAAGTTGTGAATGCTCCATCCCTGTCTGTGTTCAAAGCCAGGTTGGACAGAGTCTTGAGCAACCTGATCTAGTGGAAGGTGTCCCTGCCCACGGCAAGGGGGTTGGAACTAGGTGGTCTTAAGGTCCTTTCCAACCCAAACCATTCTATGATTCTGTGATCCCAAGGGAACCAATGGTCATATTATAAACATTCAATAAACTAAGCTCTAAGACACAGATTTTATTTGAGCAAATTGATTTGGCTGGAGTGACAGTACCAATGCAGTAGCAATTAAATATTTATTCTTCATATCTGCAGCACAAAGTAAACAAAGTATATGTAATAAAAAAAAAATTATCTTAAAAACCGTTCAGACAACAGAAGTTTCAGAAAGTGTCTGTAGCTGTTTGATTTTTCAAGACATTCACATTTACTGCACAGAAGATAATAATGAAGCTGCTTTTCTTTTGATTTGGTATTCAAAAATGAAAGCTGCAGAACAACCTAAATTGAGCATGCTGAGAAAGAAGACTCATCTTTAAAGCTAATTTAAAACTCTGCAGCATTCACTCTAAGTTAAATTAGACCCTCTGTTATTCTTATTTGAACTATTTTGTAACTACCAATAGGACAAACTATTTGACCAGAAGAGAGTAAGCAATGCAACAGGTTGCCCAGAGAGGATGTGCAGGCTCCATCCAGACTTCATGAAGCCCTGAGTTACACACTTAGACCAGAGAGGACCCTGCTTTGACAGCAGATTGAAAAAGAAAGCTCCTGAGGTCCCTTCCAACCTGAGGGATTCTGTGACTTTGTGATAACAAATATAGATATGAGGAAGCTACAGAACAGTTCCTAGTGTGTCTTGCCCAATAATAGTAAGAGCACCATTAATCACAAAATACCCCAGACATATTGTGGTACCACAATATTCTCTACCCATCAGTATTTTTATAGTGTGTAGCTCATTGATTTTATGTTACAAAGACCCTGAGACTGCTCCATCCAGCAAAAACAATTTGAAGCGTAAAAAAAAGTTTTTAAAAATCCGTAATACATCTCCAACTTACCTGTCTTTGAAGATGTCTTGAGCAGTCTTCTTTTCCTTTTTCTTGCCAACCTCCTTTAGGGGGAAAAGTGCTTTTATTTTCTCAAGAGGACCCTGACACCTTTCTTTTACCACACTGGGCATCTCCAGCATCTCTAAAAGGTGCTCTTCAATTGGTGGCAATGGCTCACTGGGGTGAAAAGCCTTATGCTGCAAACACTGCAAGAAATAATTTGAGCAAAAGAAAGCTTTTAGTTTATGTGCTTTTAATATAATGCCTGTATGCCTGACATCATATGGTAAATGCAAAATATCTTCCATATTAAAGAAACTGCCTTCATATTGCTGAGAAATATTCCATCTCACAAGTGCTCCATTACAAAAGTGGATTGCCAGTCAATTGGTCAGCTGTTTAAGAAGGTAGATAATATTAAATAAGAACAGTGATGCTGATGAGTGTTCCCAAACTCACTGGAATGAGTTCTATGAAAATTGTTACGAAAATCTCAGGAATGAAACAGTCATCTGCATCTATTCAGCTTTTTAATTTCACTTCGTCTTTAAAATGAGGTTCTATTATAAAACAGTCACCTGGAAGAGATTTCTATACATTCCAAAATTAGGAATTAGCAACAAGATATATACCCCAACCATGTTTTCCAGTTACTGTCATAGTTTATTGCCCCTCAAAGAAAATATTTCTTCTTGGTCAATAATACTCAGTATGCATACAAGAGAAATTTTCACCAGCTTAAGAACAAATGGAAAGAGAGAAGTTAAATGTGCACAAGAAAGGCACAGAACATAGGTATGTTTGGAAATCAGCTTTGAAAAGAGTGAGGAAATGAAGGGGCCTGGCAGATGTACATCAAAATTGGAACAGATGGTAGGAGCTAGAGAGGAGAAGGCTTTTTCACCAAAGTGTAAAGACAGTGCACACAGTCAGGGAGTCAAGCAAAGGGAGAGAGATGAGGTTAATGAGGCAGGCTACAGAAATTCCACCGAGAATTCTAAAAGCAAAATAACTACCTTAAATGCTGTGAAGTATGGGATAGCAGAAGAGATGTATGTGTGTATGCATATACATATACAGATACCAGTGCATTGCACACACACATGCAAAAAACCACATAACCGTAGAATGGTTTGGGTTGGAAGGGACATAATGTACATGAGAATATTTTTCTAAGCTCATTGTATTGGGTGTGTTAGACACAAGTGTGAAGGTAACTACTCCTGGTAAACTAGAAATAGAGCAGAAATTTGCTGCCCTGTTGGCTGTCAGACATGCCATTAATTTAAAAAACAAAGCCAAAGCAAACAAAACCCTCTATTCATGCTGAAAGGCTGCCAATAAAGAAAACCCAGACCATATGCTACACGTCAATACTGATGTGCTTTCATGCTGCTATTAAGATTCCAATCCATATTAGAGCATACTGTCAAAAGGAGGCAGTTATACAAGGCTACTGATTTGGAAAGACTTGCAATGATTTAAGGCATAATTATTTTGAAAGAGAGTAAAAATGTTGCTAGAAGCTGCAGTAATGGCTCTTGTGATACAAAAAAACAATATCAAAACAACATTAGGGAATTGAATTAAATTCGGAAAGTAAAAAACTTAAGTCTGCTGTTGTGAATGTGTTTTTCATCTGAAATCTCTATGTGTGCAGCTGCAAGAGTTGAGCAGACCAAGCAGGCACAGCCTGCACTTGTTCCTCTTTTTAGAGCAGATGACTACCTCCAAAACCTGAGATGGCAGGTACCATCAAAACTCAGGTGCTAATGAGAGATGAAGTTGAATAGACTTAACCTGGAGTTTCTAATCCCAAACAATCCCTTTTAACCTTGCTTCATTTTCCTTCTGTGCTCAGCAAGAGCACTCCTACCCTCACCAGCTAGAAGCAACCCACACTGCCACTGGCATCCAGACTCACTTTTCTGTTCACGCGTGTTGTCAGCAATGTCCTAGATCTTCCTTGCTCTTCCTTATTTCCTTACATTTCCAGCCTAGAGATGCAGCAAGCTTTCAGAAACCGGGGTCATGCTAAGATGCTGGTCAATGGATGTGAAGAAGTGGGCTTTTCAAAGAATTTATTCCATGATAAGCAATGGCATAAATGCATGAATAGACAGGAATTTACTGCAAGAAAGGATCTTGCCTTGTTCCCTTCCACGCGGTGTCTAGGAACACACTTTTGTAAGCACATATTTTAGCAGATCGATAGTAAATCCTTCAGCAACCTAGCACTATTTAAAGCCTTAGAACATGGGAGACAGATTCAGCTAGGTAAAAGATAACCATCTAGCCTATGTCTACACCACCACAACAACCATGTACTTAAAATCTCCAAAATAAGAAGGATCAATTACTTTCCCAAGGTTCTTATTCCATGGATTATGAAAACAGGCTTGGACAAGTCAGCTTACACTAGTTAGCTAGCTTTTGGGTGGTTACTTCAGTGTGAACTGAATCCCAACACAAGTGTTTTAGAGTTCAGTTTACAGCTAGTTTCTGGCAATTTCAAAATGACCTTCCAAGAGATCCACTGCATTCAACCAAACATAAGATTATTTTTTGTTGAAAGCCTTTAGACTTCTGTGAGCAACCTCCTGTACTCCTTCTGTTCTGCTTTTTGAAAGCACATAACCATACAGTCCAACCATTTATAAAAAAGCTCAGTCCTCTAAGGTCACTTACACACTTTACGCAACAGCCATTAAAGCATCTTTAGAGGCAGACTCTGCAGCTGGATCCCATGAAATATGTGACGCTGCAGGCTACTGTCCTCACAAGCCTTCCCCCAGGTCTGTCTCAGTACAGAGGAATTGGTTTATTTGGCTATCAAATAAAATGCACTGTGTTCCCCAAATATCATACATGTTTCAAATCCCTGTATTTAAGAGGAACAACTTAAACAGTGATGTTAGAATTCTGCTACCACAAAAGCAATGGAAGTTCACTTAGGCTTTTTTTGAAGCATGAAATACAAGGTGAAACTCTGGATGTAGGATATTCCCCATCTTCCACTCCAGCGAGCATTAACAACTCCTTTCCACCCACTCTGTCATTTCCTGATGCCTACCACTACTTCCAGAGATATAATTTAGCTTGATGCTTCTGTTTAAATCCTGGCTCTTGTCACTTATCATTCTAAATATCTTCATAAGGTAACAGAGCAAGGAAATTAAGAAGTTCATCCTTTCTTCAGAGTTATTTTTCCAAACTATTTATAGGTCCTGTTTAGCCCAATCAATTTACTGGCTACATTCACAAGATGATGTATAATTTTCTTTTGTAGTTCTTAAGGAACCAGCAGTGCCACTTGGTCTAAGAGCAAAATATTAAGAATCTGGAACATGTCTGCAGCAAAGAAGAGAACAATCTTTCTGCAGCTTACACAGATTAATAGCAGTTTTGTAACCACAACAAAAAAACTGGGCTGTGCATGGCCAAAAGAAAGCACTAAAAGGACTGATAATTTAGGGCTTTATAAACAGCTAGCACTGTGGACAGGAATTGTGTACTACCCAGCGCATCGAAGCAATCAATAAATACTTTTTCCACCAGTAGCATTCCCCCTTACAAAATTACTACTATTTTTTTTATTACTTTTATTAGTATAATTACTTTCACCCTCTAAGGGAATCGGTGATTTACACAGTTACTCTCTTCTAGCAGCCCCTGACTCAACTGCTGGGACAACACCATCATACTGTTCCAGAAGACAAATGGCACACATAGAGAAACATCTGTCATTGACAGGCAACACCCATTGAACCAGAAGGTGGCAAGACTGTATCTAGCAATAGAATAGAGGATATGCTATCCCCTATGTGTTTCATTTACAAGCAAACCCATATTTAATCTGTAATGCTCAAACTTCAAAATCCTTCCTAAAATATTAGCCATGCAGAGATCAACCCATCTTAAGCTCTTGCCCAGCAATAATCTTCTACTGACCAAATCTTGCATTCAGTTATATACTGTCTTGTCAATATGACTGGCAGAATTTGAAGGGAACACTGAGTTCTTCAAGTTTCAATCAGAGTAAGATGTGAGAAGAGTGGGCTTACATATATTCCTGAAACATATATATGACCTTCAGATCCTTTGGTTCTTTTGTCAATACTGAGGCAGCACGGCTTTTGGACGCTAGGGTAAGGTTTCTTCATTAAAAAAACAACAAACTTTTAAACTGAAAAAAATTAATTTGGAATTGTTGAGATATGATGGACATGGTTGATTTAATACCATTTCTGGTCAATTTTCAGAGTGGAGTCAGGCACTCAATATATCACCATGGTTCTGTACACAACACAATTCTGTAGCTGCATAAGTTGTAACATAATTTTCCTTATTTTTGGATTTGCTGTGTCATTTGTTGAACACTTGACTTCCAAAGTATAATTAAGTTTCTCATTCTCACAGTTGCAATGAAAATCTCCATGATATGAAAAGAATGTAAATCAAACTATAGACAGCTTGATACAATAGCTGCAAGAAGTGTGAACTGTTCAGCTCGCCTATAAAGTGCATCAGCTCAGACACCCAAATGGAATAACAAATGTCAACAGTGTTAACCATTTACTACTGACCAACTTCACCTCAGACAGATCTGTTTTAGAACCACTGCCAGATGCAACAATGGACAGAAAAGTGACTGGTCAAGATTTGACGGGATACAGACTGAGAAGCTAATGAGATCCCTGATTTTCAGTCAGTTTCTCTCTTTGCCCAGAAGCTGAAGACTGAGACTGTTGAGATACACAAGCAAGTTTTAATTTGTCTAGTCTAGGTCCTGTGAATATCACTGATGCTGTTGCAGACACCTCAGCACATGTGTGATTTCCTTTCCTTCCTGGAAACCGGAAAATTTAAGAATAAAGTCTATGTCAGAGACAACACAGAAATCATTGGCTAGCCTACTTGCTACTTAAATACAAAAGAATTTATATTCCCATCTTCACAATACAGATCTTCCCAACAAGAATCAAAGACAGCAAGGTGAAAAGTCTTACAAAACAAGGTGTTTAAAAACATCATGTAGTTCATCTCACCTGATACAACCTCTGAAAATGAGGGTTTGGAATTTTGCTGGGCTTAAACAGGTCCTCAAAAGTTTCTCCGTCATCAGCTTCATAAACCAAATTCATAGAATCAATCAAAGAGTCAACAGCAGATAACTGATCCGCTAAGGCAGCAATCACATACAAAGAAAAAGTAAACACACTTACAGATGGATGCATTTCTTGAAACAATTTATAAATGAAGATTCACTTCAGAATGTGAGATTTTGACCAAGTTATTACACGCTACAGAATACACTACAGATATAAACGTGCCAATAAAGAATAAGGATAATGGACATAATAATAAACACCCTGCTTTATTTAACGACTACAATGTAAAGTCATAAAGCTTTTCTTTTCCCCCAAGACCTCAATTATTGCTGCCTTTCTGCTTCCATTTTTCTTCTTTTTCAAGATGTTTTTATTTGCAACAGAAGGTTTTATAGGCCATGTAGAAAATAAGGAGAACAGTTGCTTTGAAGAACTAAAGGGCATAATATAAATTTTTAAAGTTCTGATCACAAATAAACACAGTTCACAACAGTCAACTACTGCTCTGATAAGTCAGGTTTGAGATTTGTTCTCAAACTGGCGATTAGAGGCAAGAAAACAGAAACTGTTTCAGAAACAACTCAGCATGCTTTATATACCCTGATGTGCAGATACTCATTCAGTGAATCTCATAAAAAATTTTAAAAGTGGAAGTTGATTTTAAGCTACATCCATTTAAACTCATTGCTGTGCAAAATTCTCAGAACAGTGAGTCAAGCTTCGTATGGCTGCATGCTCTATGGCTCTCCAAAGACACCCTCCATCTGAACCTGGACACGAGTAAGTGCATGCTTTAAAAAAAACAACACACCACAGAAAATACAGTCTGTGTCTTGTACATTATATTAACAGGCAATACTGTAACTGGCTACAGGACCAGCTTTGCATGAATGAAACTGATGCCTCTGTTCTAATTCTAGCTAGCTAATCACACATTGTAGCTCCCAAGAGGTTTGCCCATTTAGTCTCACAAATGAGTTCAAAGATCAAAGGGTAGAGAGGTCTAAATGTGCGCCCTCCATCATGAAGATTCTGTGAGACTATTAATCCCTTAACCCAAGCCAGAAGTCATTTAACAGGACAGTTTTAAAAGATTGCAGACAAACCTCAAGTCTGCTTAGCTTGCAACTAAGCTGGCAAAGTCTTGCTACGTGCTTTACTCATGAAGACCACATCACCATAATGTATTCCCCAAAGGGATGGGGCTGTTCTTCCTAAGCCAAAATAATGACAAAGCTTATGTGTTCATTGAAAAGTCAGATACTCCCTTTTAGAGTATCTTAAATGAAGACAAATAGGTTACTTTGTCCAGCTGCCCAGTGAATTACTATCTTACCTGTAGGAATGCATTTTTTACTGTTTTTCAAGGATGAAAATATATACTGTCGTAAGTCTTCCATGTAGGGTAGTTGAACATAGATGAGACACTAAATGAAGCAAAAGAAGAAACTGAGCCTGTAGAAAAAAATCTGTCATATCCCAGAGTGCCCTATCAGGGCAATATAAACATAAGAAAAATCCAAAGATATATCTGTGTGTATCAAAATACTTAAATAAAATATTTACAGAGCAACACAGTTTTAAGTAGAATAAAACACAGAATTATTTTATAATATAGTGATGGCTACACTCCTCATTTTTCTACGCATAGAAAAAAGACCTTCCAGGTCATCCAATCCATTTTTCTTGTACAGAGTTCCAACCAGCCAAGCTTTAAATAAGTCATATATTGGTACTTTGGGAGGTTTCATCATAGCTTACTGTGTTTCAAAATCAAAAGTTGGGTTTTGTTCTTTTTGACATTCTCAGCCTCATTTTTTTCTTTATTCAAATACTTCCTCCAGTTCATACCACCCTAAATAATTCCTTTCCATCCTTTATGTTTATGCCCTTCAAAAGTCTGAAGATTGTTATGTCCGCCCCCACCTTCGTCACTGCTTTGCCATGCTATACACATTTAGCTCTTTCAATAGTCTCTCGTAAATAAGATCAGTGGAAACATGCTGCAAAAATGCTGACGTGTTGCTTCTGGATGTCTCAAAATTTTTTATATATATATTTCATATATGATTATGCTGCATGCAGAACTTCTGTTTGTTTCTAAGAAACACACATTTTTTTTCCTCCTGTTTTTTAAAATAACCTTTTCAAGTAAATACTGTCTTCCTAACTCCAGATGAATTTAAACAACAGCTTTAAATGCTGTGAGCTCCTCCCCTCAGTTCCAGTTGACTTGGAAACCTAATGACAACAGCCCAGTTGGACACGCTTGAAAAGCCACATCAACTATCAAATTCAAATTTTGGACTACCAAGCAACCTGGAAATAAATCCACAGTGTAAGAAACTGAAAGAATCCACAATCAGATTGTATGCAGAGAGGTAGGTAGTAACACAGCAAAAAGCAGTGGCAACTTATTATGTAACTATGAGATTACATTGTTTCTAGATACCAAAAAATTTGATATTTCCAGGATAATAAAATGAAATTATTACTATGTTATTGAAACAAAAATCAGTATTAAACCTGTAATATAGAGGATACTAGTGGAATCATATTACATTATTTTTCCACGTATTTTTTCTAGGGAATTTTCTTACAATTTATTACCTCTTTGTCCTAAGACTTGGTACTATGACTGAAAAGTCACATTGGTTTCTTCCTGCATTACAAAACACTGCATATGATTCGAATGATATTTTATTAACTGGTATTTGTAAAGCGTCAGTATGGAAGCTTTCTATAGAAAGGTAAGAATGAAAGATTACCTCATATGCATCCTTAATATACGGAAAAGCTGCTCCAATTTGTGGGTTACATCTTCTATCATAAGCATAACGTACTACAGCTACTACTTTCAACTCATCCAACGCATGAACAAGGGCAGAAAAAGCAACTGCTGCATTCTGGAGGGGAGAAAAAAGAAAGTCCACAGAGTCATGTAAGTTGCCATTAGTCTTCTGAAATACATCTTTCACACTGAATTCAGTGAATCACAGCACCGATTTACTCAAGACTAGTTCCCATTTCACCTATAACTTCAGCACAAGCATTTTTCATGTTTGAAAAATGAAGCAGAAAGGTCAAATCTCATCATGATAGTGGATCACTTCAAAGCTGAGCAAACTTTAGATCCAGCACGTTCCACCTTTTCCACTACGTGTGAAGAGCTCTCAGAAGTATTACAAGAGAGAGAGAAAGCGAGGGAAGACAGACCCTTAAAGGAACACTTCAGAGCACTATACAGTGAGATTTTTATCTCTGATATTTAAAATAACTTGGAGGTCTGGTTTAAATAACAGAGTGACAGAGCTTACCGTTGCTCTGCATGTGAATGGACTTAAGTACTAATTCCAGGTTCCCCATGCTCTTGCACAAGCATAATACTTCCCAGTTTCTCATTCATGAGATAAGGTATTCATTCGGGGTCTAATCCAACTTCTTTTCATCCTAATGGGCAATGGAACAAGATCTACCTAACCTCCATTAAAACTATTTGTCTTATTTATACAGAAAGACAGGACAATCTCAAGTGCCACTATTATTCTTTGTTTGACAGCAAAACACCCTTTGCATTAAACTTCAGTTCCTCTTACCTCGTCATCTTTTGCTGCAAAGACCTTCAGAACCTGGTTGCCCATGTAGCAATGCCTCTGGATCTACAGATTCAAATAGTCAAGAGTTAGCCTGACCTAAACAAAATGTCATTGACGCAACTGGACCAATGAAATTATGAAACAACTAATGTATTACTCAAGTGAGAAGCCACAAAATTTCATTACTGTGCATAGAAGTTAAAGCCTTGTATATGCTTCGTATCTCCATTTATCATTCAATATGGATATTCAGTCATATTCAGCTGGATATTCTCATACCTTCATTGCTGAACAGGAATAAAAGACTAAGTGTCTGCAGCTGTTACCAGTCTGAATAATATTGCAGTAATTCAAAAGTCAGTGTGGAAAACCACAGTACTTAATAAAAGGCCTAAACCTAATTGACACCACATCTATGCTATTAAATTTTCCTAGCAAAGATATGTCAAAAAGGAGCTGAAAAAGTCACATTCCTAACTAATAAAGCTACTTCAACAGCAACCTGGAGTGTATGCGCCTGTGATGGCAAAGAAGCACTTCCGTTAGCAGAGTTTATGCTGTTCATGAACTTGGCTGAACCACCCCATACACCCCCCAAAAAAAAAAATAGTTTCAACAAGGGTTATTGCTGGAATAGCTGGAGCTACAGAAACTGAGATACACCCAGTGAAACACTGCAGCAGTGGAAAACCTGTCACTAAGACTGCATACTACTATGAACACTGGTTAAAATTACCCTTGTTACAGAAGAATCTCTTCAAATTACTGCCTCCAAACTAACCTGGAGTTTCATTATTTAGCAAATTACCATAATGCTGTTGAAGTCAGAGACAACTTGCATCCAAGCAGAGCTGTTTTAAGTATTACAGCACAATTCTTCAACTCTGATTATTCTACCTGCCATTATTCTTTGCTGTTCTGTCTTTAAAAACTTGGGAAATTTTATGTTCAGTATAGTATAAATAACCAGATGTGTGTATCCCAACACTTTTTTTGTTTGGGAAAAAAAGGTCCCTTTGTAATATTTTCAAGTATTATTTCTTGATTTACATGGCATTACTTATAAATTAAAAATCAAAGTTTAAGCGGCCTCTGATCTTCTTTCCTGAGGGATGTGAATAACTCAGAAAAATATAAGGTGGTTCTATTCCTTCTTTAATTATGTATTTGAAGCTGTTCCAGTTTCTCTAGTTAATAATAAATTATATTTTCTCCAAAGTTTTTTAAAGAAACAATTTAATACAAACCATACATTTGAATAGTGTCAATATTACGATTCCAAACAACAAAATTCCAGAATCAAAACATAAGGAAATCATGGGTTTTGAAAATTCCACAATGATATCACTTCCTGGTATCATTATCTAAACAGTGTAATTTTAATTCTGCAATCACACCTGAATAACTTTATTACACTGATGTCTACACAACCATTACTGGGCATAATTACTCACACTCCTACTTACAGAATCAGAGCACACTTTAGTTAAGATGTCATTCCTATGCATTATGAAATCCACAAACAAAAGAAGCACATCATAAAAAATTATCAAAAGCAATAAATAATATATTTTGTGCACTGAGAAAATATAAACCAATATGTTAATTGAGGCATATTCATATGAATCAAGAATAATCCTACAATTAATTATATTCTACAATTAATTATTAACTATGTATTTGAAGGTATCAACACATTATCTGACCAATGGGGGGGGGCGGGGGGAGGGGGGAATCCATGTGAAATAGCAGCTCACTTACAGGAGCATGATTTTTGCATCTGTTTTCCTTAGTTTCTGTTTAAATTAAAAGTCAGACTTCAAGTCAAAATAGGAGACCAGCCTCCAGCATAAGAAAATGCTGCACTTGTGCAGCAATACACATCTTGTGGAATTAAATGAAGACAGTAAGACTCAGCTGTAGGCTGAGTTAATAATATGCTTTGGACCACCACACTGCAATGCTCTAAGGGCATATCTAGCAACATGCAGGGGTCTCCATGCCACCTGTATTGTAAAGTAAAAATATGTTTAGTAACATCCATTTGGGAGCAAGCTCCCACAGATACTTCCTATTTCATTAGCATCTCTCCCTCCTGGTGAAGGTAATGATTCCTCAGCCTTCATCACAGGTACTATTTTGTTCAGACAGTGAGACATTTCAAAGAAGAGCAAGAGGGCTGAGAGCTTTCAGAACAGAAGGTGCAGTGCTGCCCTATGATTTTCTTTCTGTTTTGAGTGGTGAAAAGGACTGGGTGCAGTGAACTCCAAGAGTGAAGTTTCAGTCACCATGTGCAATATCCTGGAGAAGAAAGAGTGGGAGCCAGCTTAACATTACTAGCAAATACTGGCGCTCACATCTCTGTACTTTCTCCTCGTATGTCCTGCTTCAAGAAGGGTTTTCTTAAGCCTTTGCCTAAGGCTTCCCTAATGCTCAAGTCCTGGATTTTCTGCAGGAAATCACCCTGTGCTGGATAGCTTTTATTAAGGTACTTGCTCAATGTAAGTTTCTTACATCTTCCAGGTAAAACAAATGGCAAAATTACTATCACAAGTACAGGTAAGTGCATAAAAACACCAAGCATTTCACTGAAATATGGAGAGCTTTTGAACGATGTTATCTTCATCTAAGTTCTGTGAAGTCTTTGCTACATTTAGGTTTTGTTATAGTAGAAACAAGAAGCACGTCACAGTTCACAAACTAATCCTCATGGAAACAAGAATAAATCCAGTCAGTTCTCAGGCTTTCTTTAACATTTCTTTAATGTTTAGAGAGAGACCTCTTCTGCCGTCACGGCTGGACAAAACCCAAAAAGGCTACTGCATGATTTGAACAAAGAGAGACTGTCTTCTGTTTCAGATCTGGCATCACTATTTAAGTTCATGAGATGAAATGAAACTACAATACCTCTTGTCTCCACAGAGATCTAAGTTCAGTGGTTCTTGCTTCACTTGAGGGCCCAATGGCCACATTTATGAACTTCTGTCCTCACAAGACTACACACCGTTTGTATGTACTGGAATGAGAAGTCAAGTCACCCCTGTATACATGACTGCAGATGCTCCTTTCCTAATACTGGAACCCAGTACACCACCACAGCTATAGTGAATTCAAACTGAAATCAACTGTTTGAACAACCCAGGTAGTTGAATGGGAACAGGTTTAGTAGCATACCTGAGAGGATCGGCTAAATCCCAAAATAGAAAAGCATTTTGCTTCTGTTTTGTATTTCATTTGCTCTTCGTCTTCCTTGGAAAAAGGAACTATATCACTGCCATAGCGAAACCCTGGAGAATAAGACAAGAGCATCTGGTAAGCATATGGCCCTACAATTCTAAGACCAAAATTAGCTCTCTGAGTATTTTAACAACCATGCATGCCCCACAGCTACACTCCACACACACTCATCAAATTACTTTCCCTGTTAACAAAAAACCCACACACCCATAGAAACATTTTGTACTTCATGAACAGCAGTTGCACTTGCACTCCTTGTACATTGTTCTATGTAACACAGCTACTCTCATAGAAAGCAGAAAATAAGGAAACTGAACATCTTGCCCAACAAAGTTACGCTTGCAGAATAGATTTAAGCAAATTGGAATAGATTTCAGCAAATAGATGGCAAAATGCCTTGCAAACGTAACAAGAGAAAAACCCAAACATACCAGAAAGCATGGACAGGAAACCAAAAGAGATCCAGAAAACAAAATGTGTTAACAGTGGAAGTGAGATACTCCTTCATACACAATGGTGTAGGCTGTATACAGAAGTGGTCTCTGTATGTATTTGTGTTTCACTTCCCATGCCTTACATTACAGGGATATCTCCACAAAGCAGAAAGTTGTTAGCTTCTCAGAGCTATCATCTGTTCCAACTGCTTATTCCCCCACCTCAAGCTCTAATATCCTCCCTATATGGAACATGGTCACTTTATTTATACTATCACAGACTAAGGACAATATCCTCAGGTGCAAAGAAAGCAAAAGGAATAGAGGTAAATCCCTGGATGAAAAACTGTATGCAGATACATTTTCCTGGAAACTGAAAAGCAAGCACACAGCGAGAATGAATGGAATTTCAATATGGGTGCTTCAAATGCAAAATATTGTCTGACTATGGTATTTTTCAAAAAGTCCACAGAAGTCCATGAGGCATCAGCAGCTCTTTAATTGTAAGCAGTATCACACCACTGATAGAGAAATTTTCAGTCTCTTTGTTCACACTGAGCCATTCATTACTTTTTATTAATATCCCACAACTACTCAACTTAGATTGTCAGGACATCAGCAGAGAATGGTCACAAATGCTTCAAAATATATGCCATGTAAAAAGTGGATTTTTTTTATTACAAGTTTTGAAGTTATAAAACATAAACAGACTATGAGTGCTTACCTATTATTTCTGCTTAAAGAAACAAACAAAAAAAAAAATCACAGTCATTGGGACATTTTTATCTGCTACAAGACACCTATGATTGCTACAACTGAAAGGTGTTAAATAAAAAAAAAAAATACAGTATTGATCTTAATTTTTAGATTTATTTTATCCATTTGAGAGCACTTTCTATACTGTTATCTCAATAGTTCTGCCCTTCAGAGTTAATCCACTTGCTCTACCTTGTGTGGGATAAAAACAGTGAAAGAAAGAAAAAAAATTAGTAATGAAATACATCCATATGATCACAAAAATGTAAACATATTTGCTTAACTCAATTTTTTAGAACTAGACTATTTCATACTTTTCTGAAGCCTTCAGTCTTCTACAGAATTAAATCTATTCCGAAACAAGCTGAAGGTTATAGAAGTATTCTGCATAACACTACCTCAGATTGAACCCGTTACAGAATTTAAGAAACTGTCCTGGGTTCAGCTACAGCAGT